GCTGTAGTGGTGGTATGAGTGGCATCAGCAGTTGTGGCCGTAGCATTTGTAGTATTAGCTACGAAAGTGCTAGCAGCAAGAGTGGTAGTGGCAGTCGTATGTGTAGTAGTTGTAGCCGTGGTAGCAGCAGTCGTAGTAGTAGTAGTAGTAGTAGCCGTAATAGTAGCAGTAGTAGTAGTAGTAGTAGTAGTAGTAGTAGTAGTAGTAATCGTAGTAGTAGTAATAGTAGTAGTAGTCGTCGCAATAGTAGTGGTAGTAGTAGTAGTAGTAGTAGTAGTAGTAGTAGTAGTAGTAGTAGTAGTAATAGTAGTCGTAGTAGTAGAAGAAGAAGAAGTAGCAACAGTGGCAGCACTCGTAGCAGTAGCACTACTACTCCCTGTGTTAGTATCCAAGTTACTGGTGGTAATGGTAGTCGTCGTAGTAGTACTAGTTGTAGTAGTAGTCGTAACAGCAGCCAAAGTAGTAGTAGTCTTCGTATACGTATATGTAACAGTAGTAGTAGCAGTAGTGGTGGCAGTGGTAGCAGCCGAACTAGTAGCAGTAGTATGATTAGCTACAGCCGTGGTAGCAGCAGCCGTAGTAGTTTTAATAGTCAGATCACTCGTGTTACTGCTGCTGCTACTGCTTCTTCTACTACCACTACTACGACAAGTTCTGGTCGTAGTATTTGTACGGGTGGTAGTACGCCCACTACTACAACCACTAGTACTGGTAATAGTACTTGTAGCAGTAGTCCTGCTATCACTTTTACTACCACTGCCCCTACTACCACTACCACAATTATCAGTCATACCACTACTACTTCCGAGTATCACAACCACTACTACGACTACACATTCCAGCACTACTACCACGACTACTACTACCATTACTCCTACTACGACTACTACCACGGCTACTGCTACTGCTACTACTACTGCTACAATTTCCAGCGCTACTGCTGTTAGTATCCTGTTCGAGCTCCATCCATCGGATCCTATCTGAGCTCCATCCATCTCTGATAAGATCGTGTCCGAGCTCCATCCAGCCCTACTCGGATCCTGTTCGAGCTCCATCCATCCCTGATCGGATTCCATCAGAGTTCCATCCGTCTCTACTCGCATCCTGTCAGAGCTCCATCCACCTCTGATCGGATCCCGATCAGAGCTCCGCCCATCTCTAATAGGATCCCTATCGAGCTCCATCCAACCCTAAGCGGGTCCTCCTATCTATCGAGCTCCATACGTATCTAATAAGATCCTATCAGAACTCCACCCATCCTTAACAGGATGATATTCGAGCCCCATCCATTCTTAATCGGATTCTATCAGAGCTCTGCCCATCCCTAGTAGGATCTTTTTAGAGCTCCATTCATCCCTAATAGGATCCCGTTCGAGCTCCATCCAACCTTATCCGGATCTTACTCGAGCTGCATCCATCCATGATAAGATTCTATTAGAGTTCCATCCGTCTCTGCTCGGATCATTTTAGAGTTCCATATTCCTCCAATAGGATCCCAGCAAAACTCCATCCATCTCTAATAGGACCCTGTTCGAGCTCCATCCAACCCTCATCGGATCCTGTTGATCGAGCTCCATACATCTAATAGGCTCCTATCAGAACTCCATCCATCCTTAGCAGGATGGTATTCGAGCTCCATCCATCCCTAATCGGATCCTATCAGAGCTCTCTCCATCCCTGGTAGCATCCTTAAGTTCCATCCATCTTTAATAGGACCTCACTCGAGCGGGATCCATCTCTCATAGGATCTTAGTAGAGCCCCATCCATCTTTAATCGGATCCTATCAGAGCTCCATCCATCTTTCATAGGAACCTATTCGAGCTCCATCCATCCCTAATAGCATCCTATTAAAGCCCCATCCATCTCTGATTGGGTCTTATTAGAACTCCATCCATCTCTAATCGGGTCCTATTCGAGCTCAACCATCTCCCATAGGATCCCACTGGAGGAGGCAACCAGCGGCGTCGCTTCTCCAGCGCGCGAGCGTTTCGTGAAAGCACGGCCGAGTTGACTCCTATGGGTTCCAATGGATAACTTGGTTCGTTGTTTGCATGACTGTTGGATGCTGGCTGCTAACTGCTGGCCGCCCCCCCTCCGCCCTCGTGGGTGGGGAGGGGCACAGGAGTCCGGTCATGTGAATAGAGTCACCAGACCCCTGTGCCCCGGGGGGGAAGGGCACACATAGGCGTTGATGCCTTGTTGTTGTTGTTATTGTTGTTGTTGTTGTTGTTGTTGTTGCTGTTGTTGTTGTTGCTGTTGCTCTTGCTCTTGCTGTTGTTGTTGCCGTTGTCGTGGTTATTTTCGTTGCCAGTGATGCTGTCGATGCGAAAACGATGTTTTGGAACGGGACGGGACTTCTGGAAACGGAGCGGGCCCCCGTTACGTTTCCAGAGGTCGGGGTCCGGCAACGAATTCCTGATACGTTATCTTCCTTGTTCCCCCCCTCCTCCCTTTCCTCCTTCTCATCCTCATCCTCCTTCACCTCCTACTCCTCCCCTTCCTCCTCCTCCTCCTGCTCCTCCTCCTGCTCCTCCTCCTTCCCCTCCCCCCCCTCCCTGTGCCAGCGAGGACCCAGGCCTCCAGGAGAGGCGGCCCCCCAAGGCGTCAACGTTGTCAACGTTGGGCCTCTCCCCCTTCGCGCCCCCCACAGCGTGAACATTGCCACCGTTGTCAACGCTGCAACGTTGACAGGAGGGGTGGAGCGGGAGGGGAGCGGGAGGGGAAGGGTGGGGGGGATCAGGCGAGGCGGCCCCGAAGGCGCCAACGCTGTCAACGTTGCCAACGCTGCAACGTCGGGGAGGGGAAGTGGGGGGGCGCGGCCCCGAAGGCGCCAATATGGTCAACGTCGTCAACGTTGCAAGGTTGCGGAGACGGGGGGGTGGGGGGAAGGTGACCGGCCACTGGGCCGCCAACGTTGTCAGCGTTGCGGAGGGGGCTGGGGGCGCCCCCCGCCCTCCCCCCCCCCCGGCCCCTAGGCTGCCAGCGTTGTCAACGTTGCGACGTTGGCGCGGGGGGGAGAAGCGGTTCCCCCGGGCGAGGACGGATGCGCCCCCTCAGGCGCCAACGCTGTCAACATTGTCAACGTTGCGACGTTGTGGGGGGGGACGGTGCAGGGGCGTCGCGCGTCGGGACTGAGGCTCGCTTGCGCCTGGCCGCTTGGAAAGGAGAGAGAAAGAGAGAGAGAGAGAGGGGGGGGCGAATTTGTTTTGTTTTGCGGGGCTAGAGTTTCTCCCCCTGCCAAGCAGCCTGACGCAAGCGAGTTCCGGCGGCCCAGCGTTGACAGCGTCATCAGCGTTGGCGGCTTCGAGGCCGCGGCAGGGGGAGTGCGTTCTCCCCCCATCTCCCCGCCAACGTCGCAAAGTTGACAACGTCGGTGGCTTAGGTGCCGCAGGAGGGTCTTTCCCCCCCTCGTCGCCAACGTTCCAACGTTAACAACGTTGACAACGTTGGCGGCTTAGAGGTCGCGGGAGGGGGAGGGGGGGGGGCCTTTCCCCCCCCCAAACGTTGGCAACGTTGACATCGTTGACAACGTTGGCGGCTTAGAGGCCGCGGGAGGGAGAGGGGGGGCCTCCCCCCCCCGCCAACGCTGCAACGTTGACAACGTTGACAACGTTGGCGGCTTAGGGGGCGCGGAATCGGGGAGGAGGGGCGCACCCCTTGCCCCCCCCCCCCACGTTGCAGCGTTGACAGCGTTGACGGCGTTGGCGGCTTAGGGGCCGCGGGAGGGGGGGCCTCTCCCCTCCTCCCCATCCTCCCCTCATCGTTGCAACGTTGACAACGTTGACAATGTTGGCGCCTCTGCACCCACAACAGACGCTTACAGAGTTGAGTCGCAGTCTCGGAGGTCGCTTCGGGGGCTCAAAAAGGCTCGAGGCGCACAGCTTCCCCTTCTCCCTGATGGATGGGGCCCTGAGGGATCCGACGCTGAACCTTCACTCTTTAGGACCGCCTCGCCCCCTGAGAGATCCGACGTTGCGGAAAGTTGCAACATCCCGAGAAGTCGGGACAAGAGCCCTGGGCTGAGGGCGCCTTTGCTCTAAGCTTAAGGCGCTTTCGCCCGAACTGGACGTTTGAACGCACCCTAGAGTTGAGCCTGGGTCTGAGGCGCAGTCTGCGAATCTAAGAATTCGAGTCGCGGTGGGAGTAAGGGGAAGTCAGGACTGGAGCCCTACAGTAGACCCTATCTTTCTGCTGCCTTTCTCGAGCCAGATCCTTCCGTGATGACCCCAGGGCCCGAAGCTGGGCGAGAACGCCCAGTGCGAAAAAACTGCGACGCCCAGCTCTGATGAGGGTCCGTACCCATCCCTCAGGGCTTCATCTCTGAACCGCTTGGCCCGAGCACGCTCGAAAGCAGTCCCCGGAGGGACGAGAACGCCAGGGAGCGCCGCCGTTGTCTCGACCGGCTTGCCTCCCCAGACATCTGGCGTCTCCATGCTTCTTGGGGCGAGGGTGCCCGATCTCTCGACCACGGGGCCAGTGTTTCACATCCCGAGCCGTTATGTTGACGGCCCCGAGGCCTAGCAAAGGGCCCTGATACGGTCAACGCGCCCAGTAAGGACGCGCGCCTTCATTCAGGGTGCCCTTGTGTCCTTGCCTCTGCGGCCCGTCCTTTGCGGTTTTCACTGGTCGCCCGCCGCCCAAAAAATCCCAATTCCGGCCTCAAGGATCTTGCGTCCTTGCCACCCATCCTTAATATACGTTTTGATTGTAGGGCGAGGGCTAGGACAAGAAATGCCTGTCCCGTCTCGAGGTGCCAGAAGATGTCTGCGCCCGAGTCTTCGAGCCGCCGACTTGTGCGCGTGCCGCCCTGCTCCTCCTCCTGGACTCCAGTGCGCCGGCACTCGGCTTTGCCGACGCGTTTTGACGAGCGCGCCCTGGATTTGGACGGTCCAGTTTTCGTGGGATGTCTGCAGCGGGAGCCCGTATCATTTCCATGATGGCCCCGTCGTCGGGCCAACCCGAGTCCCCCAACCCGAGTCTTGCGTCTTCCCGACTTGAGGCCCTGGAGCTCCGGATCGTGCAGGGCCGCACCGCGGAGGAGCAAGTGGCCGCGCTGGGGGCCCAGGTCCGGGGAGGTGTATAAGGCTTTTGCCCGGGCAGTGCCCGTCCTTCCCCCGTCGTTCCACTTCGCTCCTCCTCCTCCGCCTCCTCCGCCTCCTCTTCCTCCTCCTCCCGTTCCTCCTCCTCCCGTTCCTCCTCCTCCCGCTCCTCCTCCTCTCCTCCTCCTCCTCCTCCTCCTCCTCCTCCTCCTCCTCCCCCCCTCCCCCTCCTCCCTCCGCCTTCCTCCTCCTCCTCCTCCTCCTCCTCCTCTTCCTCCTCCTCCTCCTCCTCCCTCGTTCCTTCTCCTCCTCCTCCTCCTCCTCCTCCTCCTCCTCCTCCTCCTCCTCCCCCTCCTCCCGTTTCTCGTCCTCCCTCTCCTCCCGTTCCTCTTGCTCCTCCTCCTCGTCCTCCTCCTCCTCCTCTCCTCCTCCTCTCCTCCTCCTCCTCCTCCTCCTCCTCCTCCTCCTCCTCCTCCTCCTCCTCCCCCCCCTTCTTCCTCCCCCTCCTCCTCCTCGTCGTCTTTCCCCTAGGCTCTGGCAGATGCAGCAGTTGCCTGGCGCCTTTCCAATTCCCGTCTGGGTCCGCTTGCGTGGCGACGGGGCGGGGGCGCGAGCCCTTCTCGGTGATCATGCTGCGTACGTTTCCGCATGCTGCACCTGCCGTTTGGAGCCCTGACCCCCTGGGGGTGTCAGCCGGAGGCCCCCCCCCCGAGGCTCCCAGAGGCACGACGAGGCCCCAAGCGCACGAAAATTCGGGCGGCGAGCGAGGGGCCTCCTCCTCCTCCTCCTCCTCCTCCTCCTCCACCTCCTCCTCCTCCTCCTGTTCCGCCTCCTGTTACCATTGTTATTCGTATTCGCAGTATTCCTCTTCTCCTCCTCCTCCTCCTCCTCCTCCTCCTCCTTCTCCTTCTCCTTCTCCTCCTACTCTTCCTCCTCGAGAAGGCCCTCTCGGAAGGCGGCGGGGCTTCTCAGGACCCCCCCGCGCCTTCTGAGAGGTTTTTGTTTGTGCCTTCGGGGAAGGCGCAGAGAACTTGTCAGAAGATTGGGGGACTTCCGAGCCTTCCGAGAAGGCCCGCCCCTTCTCAATTTCCCACTGGGCTCTCCGCCAAGAGGCTTTCAGGGGCACGACAAGGGCCCCAGGCGCACGACAATTGTTCGAGGGCGCTCGGACACCCTTCTCCTCGATCCTCCAGGGTCGGGAGCAGGCTGGGAGCAAGCTGGGCCTCGTCAGCGTCAGCTTGGGCCCCGTCATTGTTCTCACTGGCAGGACGTACGCACATTACATGACACACCAAGTCTTCTGCGCCCCTCGTTCCTCGCCCCCCTTCCCTCGTTCAACCCTGTCTGCGGCGCCCCGGCGCCCCCCTGCAGCGTCTTCGCGGTGTTTTGCTGCAGGCCGTGTGTCCGTGTGGCCGTCTAGGAGGCCAAAGTCCCCAGGCATTATCGCGTCGTTAGAATTTCAGGACGAGGGTTGTTCGCCGTGTTCGGCTTCTGACTGCCCTGGCCGGGCCTCGAGACTGTCAAAGAACAACTGAGGATTAGAAAACGGTCTCGGAGAAAGGGTCGGGACTTCCAGGTTCCAGGGACCCCGTATTGAATTGAATTATCTTGGCGGAGATCCCAATGATATGCAGTTGTGAGTACCGCAGGGCAGACGGGACGATCGAGGGAGAAATCCTTGTGGGGCCGCGAACCGCGTGAGACGGGGGAACCGCGTGACCTTCGGTGGAACTCCCTATGGGGCCGCGACGCGTGTGAAGGGTGTGCCGAAACTGGTGGGTCGGACGCAACCGGGTGGCGCCCCTGTGACCTTCGGTGGAGCTCCCTGTGGGGCCGCGATCCTTGCGAGGGGTGTACCGAAATGGGCGGGTCAGACGCATGCGGGCGGCGTCCTTGGGACCCTCGGTCTCCCTATGGGGCCACGATCCTCGTGAGGGGTGTGCCGAAATGGGCGGGTCGAACGCATGCGGGCGGCGCCCCTGGGACCTTCGGTGGAGCTCCCTTATGTGGCGCGATTCTCGTGAGGGGCGTGCCAAAATGGGTGGGTCGGACGCATGCGGGCGGCGCCCCAGGAACCTTCGGTGGAGCCCCATATGGGGCCACGATCCTCGTGAGGGGTGTGCCGGAATTGATCGAAATTGGTGAATCGGACGCATGCGGGCCGCGCCCCTGGGGCCTTCGGTGGAGCCCCCTATGGGGCCACGAAGCGTGTGCGGGGTGTGCCGAAGCTGACGGCGATGGTAACAGCGACGACGACGACGACGACGACGACGACGACGACGACGACGACGACGACGACGACGAGGATGATGATGATGATGATGATGATGCTGATGATGACGATGATGATGATCATGATCATGATGATCATACTGGTCATGATGATCATGATGATCATGATAATGATGATGATGATGATGAGGATGATGATGATGATAAAGATGGTGATGATGATGATGATGATGCTGATGACGACGATGACGATGACGATGATGACGATGATAACGATGACGATGATGATGCTGTTGCTACTGATGATGATGGTGGTGGTGATGATGCTGATGATGATGCTGTTGATGGTGATGACGGTGATGATGGTGATGATGATGCTGATGATGATGTTGATGCTGATGCGATGATGTTGATGATGTTGCTGATGACGATGGTGATGATGATGATGATGATCATGCTGATCATGATGATCATGATGATGATGATGATGATGATGATGATGATGATAAGGATGATGATGATTGGCGATGATAACAGCGACGACGACAATGATGATCATGACGATCATGATGATCATGGTGATGATGATAAGGATGATGATGCTGATGACGACGATGACGTTAATGACGAGTATGACGATGACGATCATGATGTTGCTGCTTATGCTGGTGGTGGTGATGATGATGCTGATGATGATGATGTTGATGGTGATGGTGATGATGATGCTGATGATGATGATGCTGATGCGATGCTGCTGATGATGTTGATGATGATGATGGTGATGATGATGGTGATGATGATGATGATGATGATGATGATGATGATGATGCTTGTTGATGCTGGGGACGATGCTGACATGCGAAGAGCAGAGGCAGGGATGGGAAGATGGAGGCGGGGGAGATGGAGGAGAGGAGGAGGAACGCGGGGCGCGGTCTCTTCAAAACGAAGACCCAGAACCACAGGATGCTCAAAAAACAAGAACAGGACGTCGCATGTCTGGGCCGACATGCTTCCCGAGGACCGATCTGAAATATCTGGGGCCTATGCCAAATACCGCGCTCACCCTCTAGCCACAAGTTTCTATAGACACATTTGATGTCGTTGCGCGCATGGACACATTAGGGGTGGATGCGCCTATCGACAACGCGGCCGCTGCGCTCGGCGCAGTACAAGGTCGGAGAAAGGGTAGAATCGTCTACGGTACGTTCCTGTTCTGGAGCAGGTCCCGCACGAGCGACGCAAAGAAGGGGGCCGTCTTCACCGACATTGGCGCAAAAGCTGCTCGCGTTAGGTCGCGCGTAAGCGCCCTCGCTTCCAGCGTAGCCTGCCGCGCCGGCGGCCCGCGTAGGCTGCGGCGTAAGGTCGCCGTGCCATCTCGCGCAGGACCCATTTACGATCGTCGCTCACAGGGCACCCTAGGCTCTCACGGCCCCGTCAGACCCACCCGAGTCCTCCAGACTCGCGCCTCGTGCCCGCCCGACAGGTGGTCCTCAGCAGGCTCGCGGGTGCGCAGTTCCTGCCGATGCCGGCGCTCGACGCCGGCAAAGTCATGGACCTCGGCGGAGGACAAAAAAGTGTGTATACCTGATGGGACAAAATCCTTGGGAGGCTTGTCCGAGGGGGGGGTGCCTGGATCCCTGCAGGGTTGTCCAAGGGGTTGTCTGGACCGCGTTGTCTTGTCAGCACGGGCACATGTCATCATCATACCCCGCAGTTGCGGATACGAGTGAGGGGGCGGCGAGGACGTCGGCAGCCTGCGAGGCTCTGAAGAAGCCCGCCGCAGGCGCCTAACTTTGACAAATTATGCAGTGGGCCCGCCACAGGCGCCACTTTTTTCGATAAAGCAATGTGGGTGGGTCGCAGGGTGGGTCGCGGGTGAGTCGCGGGCCTGGTCGCGGGTGGGTCGCGAGTGGGTCGCGGGTGGGTCGCGGGGTGGGTTGCGGGATGGGTCGCGGGCGGGTCGCGGGATGGGTCGCGGATGTGTCGCGGATGTGTCGCGGATGTGTCGCGGGTGGGTCGCGGGTGGGTCGCGGGCTGGGTCGCGGGTGGGACGACGAGAACAATAACAACAACAACAACAACAACAACAACAACAACAATAATAATAATAAGTTTAAGACCGTTCGCCCTTATATGTTCGAGTGTCCAATAATGCGTATTTCCCAAACCCTCGATACCCGCCCTCTTCGTCTTCGATCGAATCCCTTTTGGGGGGTATACCTTTCTTCCCTGCAGGCTGGGCCCCCGCAAGCGGCGGGGCGGCCGCGGACCGTCTGCCTGGCCAGCGGCAGCGCTGATCGGCAGGGCGGCCGCGGACCGTCGACCCGACCCCAAGAGGGACGGACAGGGGACCGACCACGACGACGACGACGACGGCGACGTCGAAGACGACGGCGACGCCAACGACGACGGCGACGACGAGCGAAAGCGAGGGCGAGAGAGAACGACAGCAGGGCCACGAAGGACACGAAGTAGGCCACGAAGGGCGACAGCGGGGACACGAAGGGAATGCGTATGGGGCCACGAAGAGCGCGAACGAGCGGGGGCTACGAAGCGCAGATAATGCGGGGCCGCAGAAGGCAACTATGGGGCCACTGAGGGTAGCAACTGGGCCACGTAGGACAGTGAGGGGGACACAAATGGCGACAGCGGGGCCACGAAGGGCACGCACATGGGGCCACAACGGGCGCGACTCCTGGGCGCCTGGGTGTCGGGAGCGCGGCGCTTGGGCAAATTGCAGGAAATTCCAACGCAAGGCCATTCTTCGAAATCAATAAGTTGCAAGCAAATATCCAGTGAAAGCGCGACTCCAGAGCGCAAGAGGAGCGATTCCTGAATAAATTGTACAGAGGTCCTAAGCGAGAGCGCGATTCTGGAATAAAATGCGAGGAAGTCTCGGGCGGGAGCGGGGGTCCTGGCTAAATTGTAATGAAGTCTCAGGCGGGAGCCGTTGTCGTTGTAACCCGGGGGCCAGGGGGCCAGTTTGAGCAGGAAGACTTTCCCTGTCAAAAAACGGGGTGCGAGCGTCGAGGGGCACACTTTGATTGAGAAAAACAGTGTGCACCGGTGGGGGGGATCAACAATAATTATTCTTCAGAAGTGAGAGTTGAACAACAACAGCAACAACAACAACAGCAACAACCACAACCACAACCACAACCACAACCACAACAACAACAACAACAACAACAATCATTTTAAGAATGTTCGCCCTTATCTGCTCGAGTGTCGAATAACGCGAATTCCCCAAACCTTCGATACCCGCCCTTTTCGTCTTCGATCGAACCCCTTTTGGGGGGTATACCTTTCTTCCCTGCAGTTCGGGCCCCAGCAAGCGGCGGGGCGGCCGCGGACCGTCGGCCTGGCCAGCGGCAGCGCTGATCGGCGGGGCGGCCGCGCACCGTCGACCCGACCCCAAGAGGGACGGACAGGGGACCGACCACGACGACGACGACGACGACGTCGACGACGACGACGGCAACGACGGCGACGGCGACGACGACGACGAGCGAAAGCGCGAGCAAGAGAGAACGACAGCAGAGCCACGAAGGACGCGAAGTAGGCCACGAAGGGCGACAGCGGGGACACGAAGGGAATGCGTATGGGGCCACGAAGAGCGCGAACGAGCGTGGGCCACGAAGGGCAGATAATGCGTGGCCACAGAAGGCAACGATGGGGCCACTGCTGGTAGCACCTGGGCCACGTAGGACAATGAGGGGGCCACAAGCGGCGACAGCGGGGCCACGAAGGGCATGCACATGGGGCCACAACGGGCGCGAACGAGCGGGGGCCACGAAGAGCATACGTATGTTGGGCCGCGGAAGGTACGGACGGGGCCACTGAGGGCAGCAACGGGGACACGAAGGGCAGCGAGGGGGCCACGAAGGGCGACAGCGGGGCCACGAAGGGCATGCATATGGGGCCACCACGGGCGCGAACGAGCGGGGGCCACGAAGGGCATACATATATGGGGCCACGAAATAAAGCGAGGGGGCCACGAAGGGCTGCAACGGGGCCACGAAGGGCTGCAACGGGGCCACGAAGGGCAGCGAGGGGGCCACGAAGGGCTGCAACGGGGCCACGAAACAAAGCGAGGGGGCCACGAAGGGCTGCAACGGGGCCACGAAGGGCAACGAGGAGGCCACGAGGGGCTGCAACGGGGCCACGAAACAAAGCGAGGGGGCCAGAAAGGGCTGCAACGGGGCCAGGAAACAAAGCGAGGGGACCACGAAGGGCTGCAACGGGGCGACGAAGGGCAGCGAGATCCCGATTCCTAGGTAATCTGTGAAGGAGTCCTAAGCGTGAGCGCGACTCCTGGGTGCCTGGGTGTCGGGAGCGCGGTGCTGGAGTAAATTGCAAGAAATTCCAACGCAAGGGCGCTATTCTTCAGTAAATTGCAAGCAAGTCTCCAGCGAGAGCGCGACTCCAGAGCGCAGGAGGAGCGATTCCTGAATAAATCGCAAGGAAGTCCCAAGCGAGAGCGCGACTCTTGAATAAAATGCGAGGAAGTCTCGGGCGGGAGCGGGGGTCCTGGCTAAATTGTTAGGAAGTCTCAGGCGGGAGCCGCTGTTGTTGTAACCCGGGGGCCAGGGGGCCAGTTTGAGCAGGAAGACTTTCATTGACAAAAAAACAAAGTGCGAGTCCCGGGGGGGCACTTAAATGGAAAAAAATCAATGTCCACCGGTGGGGGGATCAACAATAATTATTCTTCAAGAATGAGAGTTCAACAATCATTTTAAGATTGCTCGCTCCTATCTGCTCACATACAAACCCTCGGTGCCCGCCCTCGTCGTCTTCGATCGTACCCCTTTGGGAGCATTTCTTTCTTATCTGCCACGTGCATTTAGCCAGCCCTTCAAATAAGGGAAGACAAGACGCGTGGAAGGGGAGGGAGAATACTGGAACAGGAGAGAAATTAGCAGGAGGGGGGCAAGGAGCAGAAAACAAGTGGTAGAGCCAGACGTTGCAGATCGGGTGGGCAGGCCCATAGCGGGCAGGTCGGGAAGGCGGGCCCAGGCGACCAGGTCGAGCAGGCGGGTTGCTGAAGCGTGGGTCTTGCATGAATCGCGAGGAAGTCTCGGGCGAGAGCGCGATTCCCAAGTAAATCGCGAGAAAGGCCAACGCGAGAGCGTAATTCCTGAGCGCCGAGGGCGCATCGTTTGAATGAGCTGCGAGGAAGTCCCACTCGGGAGCGCGATTCGTATACACATTGTGAGGAAATCCCGCGCGAGAGCGCGATTCGGGAATGGATTGTGAGGCAGTATCAGGTGGGAGCCGCTGCTGTTGTTGTTGTTGTTGTTGTTGTTGCTGTTGTTGTTGTTGTAAACCGGGGGCCACCGACACAGCTTGCACCCCGTGGCTTTCCCTGATAACAAATCAGGGTGCGAGCCCCCGGGGAATCACAGGAGAGGGGGGATCAATAATAATTATTCACGCTTCGCGTATCCCCACCAACCCATCTCAAAACAGCCACTCTAGCGAAGCATGCCGACAGTCGTGTTTTTCAGGCGTGTTTCCGCCTGCCCCCGCATATCTCCCCTGTTCCTCCTTCCTCCCGCCTCCTTGTACATCCTCCTTGTGGTGGGAGCGGGAGAAGGACGAGGCGGAGGAGGAGGGAGAGAAAGCGCTCCTCGTGGTTTGAGTCGTTCGGGTTTCTCGTCCTGGTGTGAGTCGTTCGGGCCCTTCTTCCTGGTGTGAGTCGTTCGGGCTCTTCGTGGTGTGAGTCGTTCGGGCTCTTCGTCCTGGTGTGAGTCGTTCGGGCTTCTCGTGGTGTGAGTTGTTCGGGCCCCTCGTCCTGGTGTGAGTCGTTCGGGCCCCTCCTCCTGCCCGTCCAGAAACGACGCCCAGGCGAGTAGAGGGTCGTCCTGATGGGCTTTTCGGCGTCTTGGGTGCCTCGGGGGGGCCTCTTTGGGCCGTTTGGGATCCTCTTGGGGGCCTCCTGGGGGCCTCTTGGGGCCATCTTGGGGCCTCTTGGTGCCTCCTGGGCGCTTCTTGGGGCCATTTTGGAGGAAATCGACCAAAGAAGAGGGGAGCTTTAATTAGCGCTGCCCCCTCAGAAGGCCCAAATGGGGCCAAAACCTTAGTAAAATCAATGATTTTGGCTTGAAAGAAGAGGGGAGCTTTAATTAGCGCTGCCCCCTCAGAAGGCCAAAATGGGGCCAAAACCGTAGTAAAATCAATGAGTTTGGCTTCAAAAAAGAGGGGAGCATTTTTCTGCCTCCCCCCGTCGGAGCCAGAATCCTCGTGAGGGGTGTCGTTTTTTAGCCCTCCCAGGAGTCGAAAAAGACCCCTCCAACCACCCGCGGGGCGCCCTCTCCAGGCCCAGGGGGAGGGGGTAGGGGGAGGGGTAAACCCCTCCCCGAAGGGGAAGAAGGGGGGTTGAGAACAGAGCGGGCTCTCTAAACCACTCACGCCCAAAGGGCTGGTGGGATTATTATTCCGTAGTGAGAATTCAACAACAACAACAACAACAACAACAACAACAACAACAACAACAACAACAACAACAACAACAACAACAACAACAACAACAACAACCATCAGTTTAAGACT